CTATCCGCGAGTAGCGCTTTCGAAATCATCGCGCCGTTTTCAAAGTCTGGAAATACTTCAGCAATCAGAAGACACCGTGAAACATTTCTAAAACATTCTCAGCTCGAATTTCTTCGATAACCTTATCCTCTTCTGTCAAACTATAGTTTGATCGATTTTATCATCTGTCTTTTAAATTGATAGCGTCAGTTATAGTCTGACTTATGATTATCTTTTGTTATAAAATAGGTCATTTGATCATTTCTGTTGAAATATCTTTGTCAATATTTGAGTCTACTTTTGAGAAACGTGTATAGCTCTAAAAATTGTTTGTTATGTAAAAATTACATTCATATTTGGTTTATATGCTTACATGTATTTTATAGGTTAGTCTGGTTCATACATTTACATCCAGTTTATATTTTACACATAGTGTATTCATTTGCACATAGTTCACATTTTATGTCTAGCTCATACATTTATATCAATTTTGTATTTTTTATCTAGTTTATACAGTTACATGTAGTGTATATTTCATGACTGATTCATACAGTTACATGTACTTTATATTTTGTATATAATTCAGACATTCTCATCTAGTTCAGATTTTATGTCTAGCTCATACATTTACATCGATTTTGTATTTTATATCTAGTTTATACAGTTACATGTAGCATACATTTTATGACTGGTTCATACAGTTACATGTACTTTATATTTTGTATATAATTCAGACATTCTCATCTAGTTCAGATTTTATGTCTACCTTGTGTATTTACATCTAGTTTGAATTTTATATCTATTTATTTTCATTTAGCATACACTTCATGTCTATGCACTTAATCTTGTGTACGTTCCTTAATTATACAATAACAAACAGAGCACATACATTGAGTATAACACAAAATATCAGTGAATCTTCAGACCTCATACACATAAACCCACATTTTCATGAGTAATCCAAATAAAAATAATCAAAGAAGTGTTTGCAAAAGTAACATTGCGATGAAACAGTGATAAAAGTACAAGAGCGAATAAAATTGAAATACATAGTGGTAGTTAAGGATATTTTTGTCTGGAATTTTGTATCAGAAGCTCTGGTTGAGGTTACGTATCCACTCGAATCGAATCGTCGATCATCGAGAAACAAGAAGAGAATTATATTTCTGCGTTACACGATGCCATGAACTCGAGGCATGCAGTCGTACGCGAGCCTACGGTTAAATATACCCCCCATATGCGTGTACGTATGTAGGTGTACGGCTTGAGTAGCCTTATTAGTCTTATTTCATTCCAACACCAGTCCGGAAGTCGTTCGAGGTGGTCCGAGAGCGCGGCTAGCCGCTCGTACAATTCTACAAGCAAACCGTTTGCTTCTGTTTTTGCTCGTTATGTAAAAGCATCGACAACTTTCTGCCCTTTAATCTTCCTTACTACTTTTTCACTCGATTCCTCTCTTTTCATTATTTTTTTAAATACCGACAAATTTTTGTTTTTATCTCGTCGTTGGATTAGCGACGATTTAAATTATTTGGACTTTTATTTTTTTTTAATTTTGGGATTTTATTAATTTTTAGATTGGGGGTGATTTAATTTAATATTGTAAATAAATTTTTATTTTTATAAATTCGAAAGTTTTATTAATTTTCAGATTGGTGGGGGGCTGATTTAATTTAAGATGATTAATAATAACTTATATTAACTTATTTAATAAATGAATTATAATTTATAATAGCCGTGTCTGATTAGAATTTATGGTAGTCATATCTGATTATAATTTATAATAATCATGTCTGATTAGTATGAATATTATTCATATTTGATTGGAATGTATAATATTCATGTCTGGTTAGAATGAATAATATTCATACTTGATAAGAATGTATAATATTCATGTCTGATTAGAATTTATAATAGTCACATTAGATCGACTCATCAGAAAAAGCACTTGAAAGACACTTTTACGTAACCAAAAACATTCGTTCGGCTTTGAACTTCATCGGAGTATCTTTCGTAGACGATAGTGTTTTCGAACCGATGAATTTGCGGGGCAGCTTTCACGCGATTCGATCGTCAATCACGCGGCTCCCGTTACAGGCTGAAGAAAACGCGGAAGCGAACAAACTCCTAAGCGCTTGTTTGTCCGACGATCAGACAACTACACCTGGGATGGGCATCAAGCATTTTAAAACCGAAATAAACACGGGACTCTACTGTGGACACTCCTTTTAGATCTTTTACAAATTTAAGAAAATTGTCAGACCTCTCTTATTGCGTTAGGTTTGTGTTTAAAGTACTATACATGTGCCGCCATTTTGAATTTCCATATTATTATCAAATGAAGTGCATCATTACACAAATCATGTGGATGCAGATTAAAATTGTGTTTACAATATAATGTAATAGCAGTTACAGACTATTATAAGTTATAGATTATTACAATTTATCAAAAAAGTTATAAAAAGACATTCCGATAATCTCAGATGCAAAAAGATGTACAGAATTATTTTACATACTTCCAACGTTATAATAATATTAAGGTATTAAAATGAAAAAGGCTTCTATGAATATTCATAAATGCGGAGCCGTTTCAATCGTGATATTTAGCACTATTGGGCAACAAGTGTTTCAATGTCTTCAAGGTATTAAACTTTTTACAGACGAACATTGAAACACTCCGAGAGAGCACTTTAAGTGCTGAAACGAACATCTGCGGTTGGTCACCGCCCCCTTGCGCGATGAAATGGGTGCTCCAACTCAGACAGATCCAAATCGAACGATCCCCTCAATTGCTCTCAATCGTCCCGTCTCCTCTTCGTTTTTTTTCTTTCTCCTTTCCTGTCTGTCGTAGAAAAATCAAAGAGCATCCTCATCCGACGATTTCGTAGCCGCCGGCTATGTTTCCTGTTCGAACGCTCGACTTTCTATGATTTACGGGTTATGCCGATCGATATGGATGGTGTTAGAAATATTGCTGTGGATGGGCACCGGAGCTCTTATTAATCTTTGAGTTATGATCAATAATTTGAGTATGGTATTTGCTAGGGAAAATTGCGATGTGGATGAGTGTGGAGATAAGTATACGTTCAGATTTTTATATTCGTGTTTGGTAATTTTGAAGTTTGAAAGGTGGAAATTTGAGGGTTTGTGAATTTGAGGGGTTGACGATTTGGGGGTTTGAGAATTTGGGAATTTGATAAATTTGGGGGTTTGAGAATTTGGGAATTTGACAAATTTGGAGCTTTGAGAATTTGGGAATTTGACAAATTTGGGAGTTTGAGAATTTGGGAATTTGACAAATTTGGAGGTTTGAGAATTTGGGAATTTGACAAATTTGGGGGTTTGAGAATTTGGGAATTTGACAAATTTGGAGGTTTGAGAATTTGGGAATTTGACAAATTTGGGGGTTTGAGAATTTGGGAATTTGACAAATTTGGGGGTTTGAGAATTTGGGATTTAAGAATTTAGAATCTGAAAATTTGAGAGTTTGACAATTTTGAAGGATCTGAGAATTTGAAAATTTGACAAATTTAGGGGTTTGAGAATTTAGAAATTTGACAAGTTTGGAACTTTGAGAATTTGGGAACTTAACGAATTTGGGGGTTTAAGAATTTGGGAATTTTACAAATTTGGAGGATTGAGAATTTGGGAATTTGACAAATTTGGGGGTTTGAGAATTTGGAAATTTGACAAATTTGAGAATCTGAGAATTTGGAAATTTGACAAATTTCAAGGTTTGAGAATTTGGGAATTTGACAAATTTGAGAGTTCGACAATTAAGTACTTTCAGATATTTGAGATTTGGAAATTTAGGAATTTAAGAAACTTGGGGTTTGAGCATTTGGGAATTTAACAATTTTGAGAACGTTACAAATTTGTGGATTTGAGAATTTACGCATTTGATAATTTTGAAGAAGTCAGAAATTTTGAAATTGAAATTTGAAAATTTTGAAGACGTCACAAATGTGGAGACGTTATATATTTCTGCAATTATATTTTTGACAACTTGAGAATTCAACGATTTGAGATCATTGACAATTTGATGATCTGACGAATTTTACAAATAGTTATCAAAAGACCACTTAACGAAACAGTTAGTCACAGGAAAGCGATAAGATTTGCTCAAATGTTACATAAATAGAAGTTTCTCACGATTTTCGTAGGAAATAGGGGAACACCAGAACGGAAAATGTTCAGTTCAACCGGATCTGATAATCTCTGACTTCTACAATCAGAGACCGTTCAAAGCGGGATTTATCGTGCAACGTATCGTTCTTCCCCTTGATTAAAATGGCTGGCACGATAAAACAGACTTCAAAGTTTATGTTTCAACAATCTTCAGTGCAAACAGTTACCAGAAAACCAAACTGATCATCATGTTTATTATTTTCATAGATTTCTGAGGATTTTGAAAATTTTGGGTTTCAAGATTTATGGGATTTTTGAGTCAGAGATTATGGAAACTTGGAGAGTTGGATATTAGGACGTTTGGGGGTTTGGAGATTTTGGGACTTTGGACATTTAAGGATTTGAAGATTTAGACATTTAGAGATTTAAAGATTTAGATGTTTAAGGGTTAAGGATTTAGTGATTCAGGAATTTCTTGATTTAGGATTTGGGTTTTGAGATTTGAGATTTATGGAATCATTAATTTCTGGCACCCGAGAATTCTAAATTAGGAATGTTTAATAACTCCTAACTTCAGATCTTATGAATTCCTAGATCAACCAATGCAGGATTTGGGGATTATACTTCTGAAGTTGGGAACGTATGTATCAGGGGCGTAAGAGCTACCTAGAGCTACCATTTAAAAATCTATATCCAAGATGTCTGATCTCAAAATTAAAAATCTACAAATTTGCAAGATCAGACATTCCTGACATCAACCACCAGACATCAAACAATACATGTTACTTTGGACACTCGATTTGTCAAATAGCATAAAGTAGTGTCCTCAAAAGGGGTATCGATCGAGAGGTATCATCATCGAGCGATAAAATAGACGCAATTGGTTGTTGCAGCGCGAACGGGAGGGCGCCAGTGTCCAGCAAGCCACCCCTTCCTCCGCAGCCACCCCGCGTCGGGGCGCTGAGTTCGAGATCGTCGACG